TTGCAGATCATGTGTTCGATGAAACCTGCTCAAATGCTCAAGTTTACGAGCTTCTTACCAGGGATTTAATTCATGTTGCGGTTGAAGGGTTCAATGGTATTCTTCTTTTCCCCAAATCGTCCAAATTTGTTCAATCACTAAGATTTTGCTTTAAGCCTTTAGGTTCTCTTTGTATTTTGTTTGGATTTGGGAAAGCATCACAGGTTGTTTTTGAGATATCGGAGAAATTAAAATGTTTGATTTGAATTTCGTAACCTTAAAACATTTTCCTTTTGGTTGGATTTTTTCGACTTTGTTGGAAGACTTGCTAGTTTGGGTGCGAGAATTGACTGATTTAATCTCATGAAAAAGAAGCATTCATTTGTGTAGTGATTTTTGTGCTTGTTTGTGGATTGATTTGGAGCAGGTGACACTGACATGGAAATGTTGCTGGGTTGGCGATGAACCTAGGCGCCTAGGTTCGTCGCCAACCCGCGAGCTGGGTTCCTCATGAACCCAGGCTCTTGGGTTCGCTTGGGGGTAAAAGGGAAAAAAGAATAAATGAAAAAAAAAAAGGTCGGAGGAAGTGGAGAGTGACGTGGAGGGTGATGTGGAGGGTGTCATTAAGTTCACACATCTTTTACACATTGGCATTCCCACATCAGCTGTTTCAGTTAAGTTAACGTACCACGTAAGCAAAATTTAACGGAATGACTAAAAATGGGTCGGATTTGTGAACAGTAAGGACTAAAAAGGGGATTTTTTTGATACAGGGACTAAAAAGGGCCTTTTACCTATAGTAGAGGGACCAAAAAGGGTATTTAACCAAGAAACAACAACAAAACGAAAAAAAAAAAAAAAAGAAAAAAACACCGAGAGTGTTGCAACTTACAGAAGGCACGATGGAGGTGCGTGGTGGCTTAGAGGCAATGGATCTGGGACCAAAAGTCATGGATCTACAAGAAATATGCAAATGCGACTGTAAATCCAAGGAAAATAAAAAACAAAAATACCAGATCGTTGCGTCGGAGAAAGGGGCAAACTCACCGTCAACGTCACCAGCGGCAAAAAGGGGGCTCGACGTCAAAAAGCAAGAATACCGACGACAATGGCAAGAACAAGGCTGGAGAGCGAACCAGATCGCCGCAACAGAGGAAGAAGAAGAAATGGGGAAAGAAAAGGGGATATGGGGATTAAACATCGGGTATATTCATCGACAGCATTGTTGTCGAATATATCAAAACATAATCGACAGAAAAATTTCTATCGAATATGTACACATATTTGATAGGAGAGTTGTCGAATATGTTTTCTGTCGAATAAGAACAAAAAAATCAACTATAATTGACAATCAAACATATTCGACAAAAATACTGTCGAATATGTGTTTATATTTGACAGCCATTTGGCTGTTGAATATGTTGTCATTTTTACCTGGTTTTCCAGTAGTGAAAGTTGTCTATTAAGTAGAAGAATCTTTGTTGTATAACATGAAGAATGGGTGTTCGATTCTCAAGGTTGTAATCAATAATTTAATTAAAATCTTTGAGATTTCTATGACATAAATAAATTTCCAAGCACCCAAGGACACAAGGATTTCATTGTTCTAGTGCCAAAGGATTGGAGTAAAAGCTTCAATGTTGTAAGTTCAAACTCTGTAGAACACAAATTTCTCAAGACTCTATGCCCAAGCATTGAACTGTCTAGTTAAATAGTTTACTTGTTTAAGCATTTTCAACTGTTTCAAATGGTTTAAGAATCTACGCGAACCAATTATACTATTGGGTATCGGTTCAACCAATTTGATTGACTGCGCTGATCTAGTTTTCAAAACTATGCATGTAGCCTTGAAGGTGACTTCAACAAGTATGCCTCCAGGTCATTTTAAGTCTAAAAAGACTAATAGCAATAGTCTTCCTACTCTCAGGAGGCATAAACCAACTCAATTGAAAACATGTCAGCCATCTATTAATCAAGGTGCATCTGATGGTTGACAACAAGCTAATGCTGCAAGACAAAAGGCACCACTATGGTTGGCATCAATACATAAATCTGATAAGGTACCCACCTTATCTATTTCTACTTCTTTTGAGACTAATGAGTATATTCTTTTTGCCTTGCTTAAGAAGTGTTCACGACGACCATGCTTTCTTAATGGTCGAAGCCCTTCCAAGTTCAACTATGGACAATGGCTATAGGTGAAATATCCCTTTAAAGTTGTTAGTCTAAAAAGGGGAGTATTTCTAGTCTTAGGGAGCAACTTAGGCAAATTAAACATGAAAGGTTACAAGACCTTATTGCCAATGAAGTTCACAAAGTTATAAAAAAAGAGGCAGCAAGGCTTGTGCCGTTACAGCCTGATGCTAATTCAAGCATCCAACCACCACAACAAAAGCTTGTTGCAAGCCTAGTTCACCTCACCAATTTGCAGACTTGTTGCCAAAGTCCTCTCAGGTGGCATGTAGACCACCATGTTGTCTAACATGTTGTAGGCCATACTCAAAGAATTATAATAGAAATGTTTTTTTCAAAGTGGTTTTCATAAAAAATTCCTAAATTTTCCTTGCAGATATAAGAATAACATGGGAGGTGACGTAAGCAACACCATGCTCCCTCATCTAACAACTCGAAGAAGGAGGAGGAAACCTAAAGACCTTTACTAGACATTGAAGAAAGAACTTTCACACTAGACCCATGTCTCTAAATGGAGGCACAGAGGCACAGGGGGGATGATTAAGCATTCAAGCATGGAGGCATGGGCAGATGCTGCCTCTATAGACAAAATCAATTTAGGCATGGTTGCCATATAAACCTAGTGGCTCATCCAGAGTTCCCTACCCAAAATCCTTGGACTCTTCGGAAGCGACTTCAAAAGAAACAAGCTAAAGAGTGTAAGAGGCATGTTGTTGCCAACGTGCATGTTTCCTAAAGGCAACAACCTCTAGGGAGGCAAAGGTTTATCTGGGTGGAGAAGAAGAAACACTGTGTAGCCTCTTATAAGGCAAATCAAAATTTAGTCAATGTAATTGCGTCTCCAAGAACATTTACCAAGCATATTTCTCTCAAGTCAAATGACTCAAAGGTAGCTAAGGAGCTTAACGTCAATAGTAAAACAATTACTTTGGTGAGTTTACTATTGAGCTTCCAAGCTCCATTCCAAATCTCCCTTTTGTTTTCACAAGGAAACAAGTTGTAGCCTCTAGTAGCAAAGGGGCAACAAAGAGCAAAGTAAACATGTCTACCAAAGAAAAAAAAGGGAAAAATCACAAAAAAGTCATCGCAACCTTTGTTCCAAGAGGAGGCATGCTGTTGTTAGTTAAAAACATGTCACCTAAGAGACATTCTGCCATCAATATGAAATCTTTACAAACTCACAATGCATGAGATGGAGGCACATATTGGTTATGGAACCTTGACAGTAGTCTGTACCTCACAAAAGTAAATGGCTACCTTTTTAGCCATGCTACCCTTTGATCTGTAAGTCATGCAATAAATTGAAGTGCAAATAATAATCTCTTTGCCTAAGTCAGGTTTGAGTAGAGATAAGTTTTAATTTAGTTTTCATTTTTAATTTTCTACAATTAGTGTGAATAATCTTGTAATTAGAGTGGCCTTAAGGAAGGTTGTGAGATAGCGTTGTTCTTAAGACACTATGCTTTCTATGGAGCATGCTTGATTTATATCTCCATGCCAGCCAACAATGGGAATTCATGGAATTATTCTTTTTGGAGGCTATATTTTTTCCATTTTTGTAGACACACTTTTAGTTGGCTTATTTCTTTATTAAGCCGCTGTGTCTACCAGATGATATTCCATGCTATGCTGAAGAAAAAAACAATGTCATATTTCTACATTCTTGGAGAGATATCATACTTCCTTTATAGTGGCAACATGGTGAAGGAGTGCTAGGAACAAAATTTTCAAAAAACCTGATTCCACTACCATAAAGTCATGCAACCAAGTTTTGGGGCATTGTCTCCACCCATTTTTGCAACAAATAAAATGGTGCCACGTGTCATCCATGTTGGAAGGAATTTTGTTTGTTGAAAAGTTGTTGATGTAGATCTCTCGAGATAAGGTTCAGTGGTTATTTCCACAACGTCAACAAAGCCATTCGCTTGTTGTGAACTTCTAGGAGCATAATCGGCAGGACCAACAGATTAATCGACTTGTCACAGATTTCATACTACCGTTAGTTTTTAAGATGTTGTTGTAGATGTCCAACATGCTACCAAGGGGTGTTGATTACTATAGATAGGTGGATAAGAGATTAAGCAAGCAAGACCTGTCTCTCACACAACTAACCCAGTGCTATCTACATTTCAGTTTCATAAGCAATGTCTTAATTTAGATCTAGCATTCTTAAATAGCTTTCCTAGTTTAGTCTTCAGCTCTATGCTGCATTAGTTTTAACTCTAGTTTGTGTTATTTTGTTGTGAACATCTCCACTGATGTATTTAATTTCCTGTAATTCAATTTACTGCACTTTGCCATAAATTCATCTTCTTAGCTTCTTTTAACTTTAGTTTTATGCTTTAGCTTTTATTTCATTTTTTATGCTTTCATCCTTTCGTGATGATATCTTGCTTCCTCTCTGCAATTTAGTTTTCTTGCCATGCACTATCTTTCTTTTCTTTTCGTTTATTTTTCTCTTTATTTTGATTAGCAAACTAGCATTTTGGCCTTAGTTATGGAAAGTCCCTGATGTTCTTCTAGGGCAATTATTTATAGACCTTTATCTAGGAATACAGCCTCATTTCTACGACAATTGTTTGACCAGGGCGCACCTCATAATTTATTTAATCAGTGTTCTTCCATCGACTCATAGTTGAGTTCCACACTTGGAAGTAGTAAGGGTCACCAGGTTTCCCTTTTTCTCACTTTGAGTAAAGTGAGTGACATGTCTTTACAGTCTTATCTGCCACACAGCTAGAAAAAGAGATTTTGGAGACAACAATAGGTTTTTTATATTTTTTTATATTTTAAAAATATATAAAATATATTTATATAATAAAGAAAGTGCATTGTAGTTTTTTCTTTTAAGCAAGTTCAACCTTTTTGTAGAGAAAGGATTTTATTTAAGGTTAAAATACCATTTTGATCCCTCAACTTTTCATTTTGGTACTAAAATTGTCCCTAAACTTCAAAAAGGACTCAAATTATCTCTAAACTTTCATTTTCAATACCAAAATGATCCTTCTGTCAGTTAAATGGACAGGTGGCAAGTTAAATTGCCAAAAAACCAATCTTCTATTTTTTTAACTAATGACATGAAAACAAAGCATGTAAATAATGATGAGTTGTCATTTTTATTTAATTTAAAATGATAAAGTAGACATAAATTAAAATATAAAAAAGATAAGGCTTATCTTCAACCTCTTAATCCCTTTCTCTTCCCAATCTACTCAAACCCCTCTCTCTTTCTTCCTCCCACTTCTAGATCTTTGTTATGTTCCTAATTTTAATAGAAAGAAGATGCTTTAGGATTACTTTCTCTAGTTTCTATTGATTTCTTCAAGTCCGTCTTTTTCGATGACCCCCAAACCTCAAATCCAAAAGCAACTCCCAACTCCAGCATCACTTGGAGTCTTGGTAGCCTGGTGAAGACCCTCACAGACAAGTCTGAGTTGTGATAGACTTCCATTGCAAGGATTTGGAGGAATTCATAACCGGATTAAAGAAGGAGATTGTCATGATCCAGAGGTGTCGCTTCTCATGCTATCATTGATTCTCTCGAGATCGGGGCCTTCGTTGTACAAGAGAAGCTCAAATCGATTGGGTAAGCCATCGATGATATTAGCAACTTGATTTGGAAGTCTCAAGGTAGGGTAACACTCTTGTCTAATCTTGATATTTTGATTCTATTTTGGTTTCTTTTGTCATCAGCTTTGGGTACGTCGGTTATGCTACTAAAGGTGTCAAATGCTTCTTGATTGGGTCTTGCCATTGTAGAAATTAGCATGTATCAAAGCTAAGAATTATCACGTCCTCATTCGACTTTTTATTTTATTTTTATTTTATGCTATGTCTCTTGAAATATGGAAACAATGAGAGATATATAAGGCAACGTTTTGGAGAAAATGATCTTTTGCATTTTGAGAGTTTCTCCAAACCGATATGCTTTTTCAAGGAGAATGTCTTTGTGTGCCTTTCTTTCTTTTCTTTAGGGTACCAAAATTTACTTAAATAAATTTATGAAATGTGGAAAGGGATGAACTGGAAAAATGGAGGGGGAAGAGATGTAGGAGGAGATGGAGGAGGAATGATGGGCTAGGGACAGAGAGAGAAAGAGAAAAAGAGTGAAGAAGAACAGGAGAATAATGAAGAAGGTTAATTTTGAAAATGATTGTTGAGGGATGAATTTGTATGGCTATGGAACCAATGACATATGCGGGTCCACATCAGTAAAGGCCCATAGCACTTATTCTCCACATCGGACATGCAATTCTTATTTTCTATTGATTACTGTAATAGAATCAACATCGCCAGAAATAGCACTTATACACTTCGTTGGAAACATTGCAAGATGTAGCCCACTCCAGCATCTATCTCTATATACATGGCCAGACAAAGCTAAATCTATTTCAGCAACATGGTTGGACGTTTTTAACGATCATGTCCTCTGCAGTGACACTCACTGCTACATCTTGCGGCTTCCAACAATGGATAAAGAGCCGACTCTGTTATACATACATGGCTCCCATCAACGGACAACAAGCCACAGCTACATAGTTCCCAACGATGGACAAAGGGTCGGATTTAATATCTTATTTAGCCTCCAACAATGGACAAAAAGGCTACACATTTCTACATATTTTCATTATAGTAGCTCCCGACAACGAACAAAGGGTCGGATCTCCTATATATTCTATCTCATTGGCTCTCGAAAATGGACAAAGAGTTAGCACAACTCGGTACGATCAACGTGAGGCTGATAACAGTTGCAACCTTACGATCAAACGAGATGGCTACCCTCCAACAATGAAAATCCATCAAGTAGCGACCGACAATCCCTTGGTGGTCGCTCGTGCATGGTGGTGCAGTGCCCAACAGGCAACAACAACCAGGACTATCCTTTGACGGTAAGGGTATGGCAAGAAGAGCCAGCGTTTGTCAATGGTATCACACTTTATCATATTGGAGGCCATAGATGCGGGTAGCATCCCTTTTCCATGGAGACAACTCCACCTCTCTTTATACATATTCATCGCTATGGTGGAGTTTGGTTTAATGAGATTTACCCCTTCGCGACTTAGCGGATTAGTGGGAATGCTCGTCTGATTCCACATGGTTCATGCTCCAACCATGTGCAAGCTAGCCACTGTTGTCCCTCTAGCTATAGGGAAGCTATTTGTTGCTGACCCTGCAATACGTATACAACATGGTTGGCAAGTATGCAAATTATCATTCTTCGATACAAAGGGGGAAAATTACCAGTCGTCGGTAATCCCAACTAATAACACATATCTTCTATATTTTATATGTTAATATGTATCGCCAACCAACAATGCTTGGCTCAGGACAACGATATTGTAGCACACACCCATATCACTCGTTCTTTACTTTGGTGCAATGCCAACCATGTACAGCCGTGATATGCTAGCACTCGCCATGGCCAGCAAACAAAAGGGCATGATGAACATCTATACATGTCACCCATTTCAATACACAAAGGAGTTCCCTTCTTCGCTGCATATATTCATATATTTCTTACACTTAAATATTTGAACATGTATTCACATGTACCTTGTTATCATTGCAAATGAACACAAGCCCATGAATCCAAGCTTATAGGAATTACTCGGGATAAACTATGGGAATAGTGGTTTGGTAGGCATGGATGGGTGAACGTTGCCCCATCTAGCGAAGCAAGGCATTCGCACTAGCAAAGTTTGGCATTGGCAATGTTACTTGACTTTACCAGAAAGGGCTAGTTGATGAAAACATGGAAATAAACTTGACTCTCGAAACAGTACCCTTTGATGCTAACCAGATGCTTGAAATCCCATTAAAAACCAACCAGAGATGCTGTTTGGTCACCATCAACAACCTGCAACCACATTCAATGCAAAGGTAGCGCACAAGTTCCATGACCTTGAAAACTGTTGAAAAAGATTGTTTTTTTGCTTGGAAAATCTTCCAAAATCCTGTGTAGAGCTTAGGGAACCCACGAAATCCTGTGCAGGTGTTGTTTTTGCCAGCTACACTTAAGCACCTCCCCAGAAATGGAATTTCGTATGGCTAGAGAAATTCCCAAAAATAAACAGTGCCTAGTCCATCACTAGAACTAGCGAAGCTTCACCAGAACCACTGGGCAATTTATAATTATCATTGCCAAGAAGCTATCAACAATGCCTAGGGCCACTCAAAACTTGGTAGATCACCCAAACCCACCTGTACACCTTTGACCCATTAACTAGAAATTACAAAAATGCCACTACCCTTATATATATATATTATTTTTCCTTCATTTAAAAAAAATAAATAAATAAAAAAGAGAATAGATTTTCCACTCCCAGCTTGCTCCCTCACATATGAGACTTCTATTTTTCCTTTGGAAACTTCCTCATCTTCAACCTACCACTCTACACACTAAAATCGCCTAGAAACCCCAAGCTTTCTTCACATTTTCTACACTTCCAACATTACAGAATACTTTTCAACATTGTGGAATATTTTCCAAATTTGCAAAACATCGTGGTTGGGAGATAGCATGCTGCGGTTTCAGTTTCTGGGTGGTTTTTCTTGAGCATCAAAGGATCAAGCTACAAGGTTAGCATCAAGCATGGAGCCAAGTGTTCTACTCATAAGCCCCCAAAGCGGTCATCCATCCTTCTCCCATCACCACTCCTAAGTTATTCCTTTTCATCCTTGAAAGAACTTTAAGAGGGGAACTATTGCATTTTTTCATCTTCAACATGAAGATTATTTGTTATAGAGTGAAGATGTTTTCTAGAAATGATAGAGGTTACCTTTATTTTCATTATTATTATGTCACAATATTTTATGTATGAAGGTGGTTCTCAAGTTGTAATCTTTAAATCTCATGTATTTTTCATTTCTGTTGCCCCTTCAACAATGTACATCCTCTTTCCATTATTTTTTGTAGTTGTGTAATCATCCTGAGTTCTTGAGTCTCTATCATCGTTGCCCAGCTCCATCGGCTTGGTTGGAAGATTTATATTTTCAACTTTGCTGGCGAGTTTCCTATTGGATATCACCGTTGGATAGAACAAGATGGCCCGTACCATATAACCTTTTGCACGTGAGATGGGTGTTGCCAAAATAACCCTTCTCATTTCTTTTTACGGGTGGCGTCTTAGTCAGCCTCCACGTCATCTTCGTGGCTTACTCATCATCCTACATCACCAGCACACCCCAACAATGATTTTAATTAATTAATAATAAATGTTCCTTTATTCATTTGTTAAAATTAAAAATGCCCCATAGACCCAAAAAAAAAAAAAGTTACACCTCATCAAATTACCTGTGTTTTTTTTTTTCCACATCAATATTTTTTTCAAAAAAAAGTATAATTTTCTAGCAACTTAACATGTCATCTGTCCATTTAACTGACAAAAGGACCATTTTAGTACCAAAAATGAAAATTTAGGGATAGCTTTGGTATTTTTTTAAGTTAAGGAATAATTTTGATGCCAAAGTGAAAAGATAAGGGATCAAAATGGTATTTTAACCTCTCTTTCAAGGTCAAAGGGTGCATCATTCAACATGATTTCTAATTGTTTGGTTTAAAAGGTTAGAAGTGAGAGTACATAT